AAAGTCAAAAAAATAATTAACAATATAAAACCAAACAAACAAATAATAAAAACATTATTGTTATTATTATAATATTATAATTATTATTAAAAATTTTACTATATTTTATATATGAAAATTATAAAAAAGTTAAAAATTAGTTATAATTTAAGATATTTTATTTATTTTGTTGTTGATTTAAATAAATAAATTTTCAAAAAATTAATATATATTACTATTATAATTGTAAAAAATAATAATATTATTTTTAAGTTTTAATTTTAAAAATATTTTGTTTAGTTTATTATTTTTTGGTTGTTTTTTAAATATGTTGTTGATTTGAATTAATAATTTTTTTTTTGAAAAATAAACATTTATTATTATTATTATTAATTTATTTGTTTGGTTTTAGTTTGTTTGATTTAATTTTAATTATTTATTTTTCTAAATAAATTTTTAATAAATATTTTGTTTGTATAATTATTAATTTTTTATCTAGCTAAAAATTATAATTAATCATGAATAAATTATCTACTACATTTAACCAATATATAATAGCTAAAAAAATATATAAATTATATATATATATATATAACAGTTTAAAATACAAACAAACAAAACTAATTGCTAATTATTTTAATTTATTTTTTTTTGTGGATTATCTATAGATACAATTAATTTTATTATTTAGACAATTTAAATAAATTATTGCAAAAAAAAATAAATAAATTAAAAACTATAGTATAATAAAATCTCATATAACAATACTATACATTATACTGTAATAATAATAATAATAATAATAAACAAAATTAATAGCATATAATTTTTTTTCTAGTGTTTTATACTGTTTTATATGTATTTGACACCAAAAACTAGTAATACAATAGCAATAGAGTAGGAGATTATATTGTATTAAGTTATATACAGTATATATATATATATATATATATATATATATATATATATATACTTAATATATATATATATATATATTATAACGTATATATACTTATGTATTATATATCATATATATACAGTAATATGATATAATGTTGTCACTAATTTAATGGCCAAAATTACTACTACTACTAAATAATTTTTTTTAGTCAATGGCCTAAACAATAGATACAAAACAAAACAAAAAAAAAGACATAGCAATCACTTCACCAAAAAAAATTATATATATATTGTATTATATTTTTGTTTTATTATTATTATTATTATTGAAAAACATAGACAAACATTAGTAATACCCGAAAAAAATTATATATATATATATCAATATATATATATATATATAATATAATACATTAGATTAACAATAATAAAATTTTTTTGCTGTTTTTGTTGTTAATGTTGTGTAATATCTCTTTTATTTCTCTCTCTCTTTCTCTCTCTCTCTCTCTCTCTCTCTCTCTGTTTGATTGTATGTTATTTTGTTGGTCAGTAAAATACTATTGCAAACAAATATAATAATAATAATAATAATAATAATAAAACTAATAATAATACTATTATCACATTTTCCCAGTTGTGTTGTTGTTGTATTAGACATAGTATTGTAAAATTGTATTATAATTACACAAATACTTATCGACATAATATATATATATATATATAATGTTTTACTTATATATATAATTATATCAATATATATGTGCACAGTGTGTGTGTGTTAGATAGTTAGTGATAATATATATATATATATATATATATATATATATATACAGTATATAAAAGTTATTAACAAATTTTTTTATATAAAATAAATTAGTTTTTATTTGCCTTAAATTAATTTTTATTTTTTTAATTTTTTGTGTGTTTTGTATACCCTATTGAATGTTTGCTTTATAAACAAATAAAAAAATATATATTTAAACAATAAAGATATCGATATTATCATCAGTTAACTTGGATTTTTAATTCAAAAAAAAAAATAATCAATAAATAAATAATTATTGAAAAATGTTGAAAATATTATAATAATAATAATAATAATAATGAAAAATCTAAAAAAAATTTCATTATTATTATTATTATAATTTAATTAATGATAAAAAATAAGTTAAATATTTAATTTATGTATAATAATTATATTATTTTTTTGATTTTATTTTTTTTTTAAATACTTAGCTTGCATTTTAAAAAAATATTAAATTATATAAAAAAAATTTTTTTTGTTACACTTAAATAAGCAATTTATTCAATACATTACAATACAGTACAGTATATAAAAAAATGTTAATATTGTATATATAAAAAAATTAAACGATTGAATATATTTTGTTTTTTTTGGTTTTAAATTATTATAATATTTAACTACAAAACTAAAACATTTATGTAGTAATTGTAGCAAAAAATATATATATATTTTGTTAATATAAGCACAAAATTTTTGTATATTGAATATAATGTTTTATATATATATATATATATATATATACAGAATATTCAATATATATATATATATTGACTGTAATATAAAGAATCGATAACTCTATTGATTTTATATACAATTTTAGTCTCTTTTTTAGTCAAATTTGTTTTACTTCTCTCTCTCTCTCTCTCTCTCTCTCTCTCTCTCTCTCTCTCTCTCTCTCTCTCTCTCTCTCTCTCTCTCTCTCTCTCTCTCTCTCTCTCTCTCTCACTAATATAATGCAAAAATAATAAGTGTATAAATTCACACTTGAGTTAAGTTTCTTATCATAATTTTTTGACTCAATTTTTTATTATCATATTATTATTATTATTATTATTATTATTTGGCAATAAATAAAATATAATTTAATCAATGAAAATATCATATATATATATATATATATATATATATATAACAACTTACACATTATTATACGTATAATAATAATTGTTAAAAAATAATAAAAATAATAATATCTAATGTAATTTATGTATATATATATATGATATATATTTATTTTACATATAAATTATATCCTATAAACTTATAAATATTTAGTATAAGTATTAGTATTATATAAGTATTTTAATTAATAATAACATAAAAATAATTATTATTATTATTATTGCTTTTTTAATTGTATTTAAAATGATTAAAGGATTAATTTTTTAAAAATGTAATTTAGATTTTTAATATTATTTTTTTTATTATTATATTTAATATATGAAAAGCTTAATTTATTTTTTAAACTTTTATTTTTTAATTTATGTAAATACATGAACATTTAATATAAAAATTTTAATTTATTTAAATATTAAAATTTTAATATTAAAATTTAATCTAAAGTTATGATCTCTAACTACTATTTTTTTAAAAAAAAATTGATATTAAAATATAAAATATATATTTAATTAAATTTCTCACTAAAAACTAAATACTAGTTTTATTTTTTGAAAAAATAAACTTAAAATAATACTAAATTGAATGTTATTTAAAAAAATCGTTATAAAACTTAATTATAAATTTTCATTATTGTTTTAGTTAACAAAAAAAAATAAATAATTAGCAATATATGTGTGTTTAGTAACAGCAAATAAAATTTAAACTAAAAATTAAATAAATAAAATAAAAATAAGTAAATTATAATCAATATATGTACAGTAAAAATCATATTATTAGTATTTTATATATATATATATTTTTTTATTTTATTTTATTGGGACTATTGTTTACATAAATGATTTATTTATTTAAGTATTATTATTACTACTACTAACTAAACTAAACAAAACAAATAAGTAAATTTTGATACATTATATATATATATACTGTATATATATATATCATATAAATAGATAGATAAATATAAAATTTTTATATAAATAAAAATTAATTAAAATAAATACAAAATCAATTTTATTTTTATTTTCAATTAAAAAATTTTTGTTTCATTGAATAAATAACTTTTAATTTAATATATCAATAAAATTTTATATTATAAATTAATATATATATATATATATATATGATATAGTCATAGATTATTGTATTTAATAAATACAAATGTTTTCAAGCAATTTAATAATAATGAAAAATAGTTAACAAATAGTTAATATAAATAAAAAAAAATTTATTTAATGTTATTAATAATATTTCTAAAATGTAATAATAATAGTATATAAGTTTTTTTCTATAAATAAAAAAATCTATTATTTATATTATTACTATTATTTAAATAATTCAATTAGTTATTATCATATATAATAAAATATAAATATTTTAAAAATTAATAGCATTTTTTGTTTTGTTGCTGTTTTTACATATATATATATATATCAAACATTATTATATAATTAGACAATAAATTATTATAAATATATAGTATATAAAGTATAGACAGTATATATAATAAATTAAATATCATTTTTATTTTTGATTACTATTTTCAATAACTCAAGGATTGACAAATTTTTTTGAGAAGAAAAATAAATATAAAAAATAATTTTGTTAATAAAACCCCTCCTTAAAAAAATATGATAAAATCTATGATAATAATATAATAATTAGTATATAAAAATCAATTTTATCTTATTATTATTAATTGAAAAAAATAAATATTATAAATATTAAACAAAAATTTTTAATATTAATTTTATAGATATATGATTATTACAATAATTACACATTTTTTGTATACTATTATTATAAGATTAAAGTATAATTAATTTATATATATATAATTTATATATAAATGATAAGTTGGCAACTCTACATCAGCTATAACTAAACTATATATATATATAGTTATGTATATATATATGTGTATATATACTGTCTATACAATACAATAGACTACAGTAACTAAAAATATCTATTTATATTTTTACTCAATAAATATATCAATCATATAATAACCCACTAATAGCTGAGATATGGCTTTATTTGATATATAACATACAGTATATACTGTATATAACAACAATAGCATTGTGACTACATTTGGTAAAAATAGCAATAGTTTATATATATATATATATATATATACTGTATATATATGTGTGTGTGTTTTATGACCCAATTTTTGCCGCCATATATATAT